GGCACTGTTTCTTCTCACACAGCTTAAAGGTCGCGATCTCAGCGTGGCTTTCTCACTCCAGCGCTGTCCTCCAGACAGTCTCGTCCCCTTCACCTCATGAGGGCCGCTTGTGTTGTGGCCGAAACGTCGTGAGAATATTATTGTGTTGTGGCCGAAACGTCGTGAGAATATTATTGTTATTTTATTTTATCAATTTATTATTTTATTCTCATTCTACGTGACTTTACCGAAAGAACCAAAGAAGATTTTATGTGGTCATTGATAAGCTAGTGGCATGCCTTGAACATCCCTTGGATGCTTACAAGGGTTTGACCAGTCTATCTGGAGTTCTGTTTATGTCAGATCAGGTGTCTAACAGTGATGTCATAGTGGAAAAGGTAAATTCACTCTCTGCTGCATATCCATCAGACCTGGACATGAACTTTGCCAACGAACTCATCCAATTAAAGTTTTTCATGTCTGACTCTGAGAGTGAGAAGTGCCCAACTAAATTGCTTGAGACATTGCAGGCACTTCGTCTGTTCCCCAATGTTTTCGTGGCACTTCGGATTTTTCTAACCTTGCCAGTGACAAACTGCCAGGGTGAGCGGACATAAAAAAATAGCTGCGGAGTAGCATGTTGCCAAACCCGTCTCAGCTCATTGTCACTTAAATCAATTCCGTCAGACCTTGTCAGACAGCTAGATTTTGACAATCTAGTATTCTAGTGGATGATTTTGTGAGGAGAAAGGCAAAAAAGACACCAATATAGGAAAGCGGGGTGGGGGGGCTCCAAAAGACATGTGTCCAGGATCCTCACGGGACCATGATCAGGCCCTGGATCGAGATGACTGGCAGATGATGCACCAGCTGTGCCCCCTACAGTGTGTGGGGGGAGCGGTGGGGTAACGGTTAGCCTGCTGCACTATGAACCTAACGACCAGAGTTTAAATTCCCTCTTACGAGCAATAACAGTGGCTAATATTTGAAACTGATCTTGGTCCTCCCCTAGGTCGATTCGGCCTCAAACAAGTAGCTGGTGCGGTGTAGAAACATCGCCACTGGGGAGACAAAGGCGGCCGGGCGTGGTGTTGGCCACTCAGTCCCTCGTGTGCCGCGCCGGGCATCAAAGGTGCTCGTTAACAGCTCTTGTCCCAACAGTCTGTTAAAGGCTACACGGGGGAGCTTTGTCTTTAAGTGACGGTGGTGGAGTGGGTGGTTATGGCACAGCGCTGCGAGCCTGGAGTCCGATCCAATGTGAACGATGAATCTTGGAATCTCAGGTCGTGCTGCTTTCGGCGGGGCTTCCCCCGTGCCCGGCAGGGTCGCGCTATCCGAGACCAGCGGCGTCCCTGCGTGGGCCCCCGGCGCAAGCGCCGCTGTCGCTTTCAATTCCTCCCGAGGCACGGGCGGGCTTGTTGTTGAAATTCGTTGCAGAATCAATGCGTGTGCATTACTTATTTCTTCCTCGTTTACGGAAGCAATTCGATAGAATCGCGTTACGTCGACCAACCGAGACGCCGAGTTTCCTTTTTCTGATTTTTTTAATGTTTTGCTGGCTGGCGGGCTGGCTGGCGGGAGGGACGGATGGTCACGTCCACAAGGGTCGTGCAGGCTGCTAGAGGTCCACAAGGGACGTGCAGGCTGCTAGAGTTACACAAGGGACGTGCAGGCTGCTAGAGGTCCACAAGGGACGTGCAGGCTGCTAGAGTTACACAAGGGACGTGCAGGCTGCTAGAGGTCCACAAGGGAAGTGCAGGCTGCTAGAGGTCCACAAGGGACGTGCAGGCTGCTAGAGGTCCACAAGGGACGTGCAGGCTGCTAGAGGTCCACAAGGGACGTGCTGGCTGCTAGAGGTTCACAAGGGACGTGCAGGCTGCTAGAGGTCCACAAGGGACGTGCAGGCTGCTAGAGGTCCACAAGGGACGTTCAGGCTGCTAGAGGTCCACAAGGGACGTGCAGGCTGCTAGAGGTCCACAAGGGACGTGCAGGCTGCTAGAGGTCCACAAGGGACGTGCAGGCTGCTAGAGGTCCACAAGGGACGTGCAGGCTGCTAGAGGTCCACAAGGGAAGTGCAGGCTGCTAGAGGTCCACAAGGGACGTGCAGGCTGCTAGAGTTACACAAGGGTCGTGCAGGCTGCTAGAGTTACACAAGGGTCGTGCAGGCTGCTAGAGTTACACAAGGAACGTGCAGGCTGCTAGAGGTCCACAAGGGACGTGCAGGCTGCTAGAGGTCCACAAGGGACGTGCAGGCTGCTAGAGGTCCACAAGGGACGTGCAGGCTGCCAGACGTCCACAAGGGACGTGCAGGCTGCTAGAGTTACACAAGGGTCGTGCAGGCTGCTAGAGGTCCACAAGGGACGTACAGGCTGCTAGAGGTCCACAAGGGACGTACAGGCTGCTAGGGTCCACAAGGGACGTGCAGGCTGCTAGAGGTCCACAAGGGACGTACAGGCTGCTAGAGTTACACAAGGGACGTACAGGCTGCTAGAGTTACACAAGGGACGTACAGGCTGCTAGAGTTACACAAGGGACGTACAGGCTGCTAGAGTTACACAAGGGACGTGCAGGCTGCTAGAGTTACACAAGGGACGTGCAGGCTGCTAGAGGTCCACAAGGGACGTACAGGCTGTTAGAATTACACAAGGGACGTACAGGCTGCTAGAGTTACACAAGGGACGTGCAGGCTGCTAGAGGTCTACAAGGGACGTGCAGGCTGCTAGAGGTCCACAAGGGACGTGCAGGCTGCTAGAGTTACACAAGGGACGTGCAGGCTGCTAGAGGTCCACAAGGGACGTGCAGGCTGCTAGAGTTACACAAGGGTCGTGCAGGCTGCTAGAGGTCCACAAGGGACGTGCAGGCTGCTAGAGGTCCACAAGGGACGTGCAGGCTGCTAGAGGTCCACAAGGGACGTGCAGGCTGCTAGAGGTCCACAAGGGACGTACAGGCTGCTAGAATTACACAAGGGACGTACAGGCTGCTAGAGTTACACAAGGGACATGCAGGCTGCTAGAGTTACACAAGGGACGTGCAGGCTGCTAGAGGTCTACAAGGGACGTGCAGGCTGCTAGAGGTCTACAAGGGACGTGCAGGCTGCTAGAGGTCCACAAGGGACGTGCAGGCTGCAAGAGGTCCACAAGGGACGTGCAGGCTGCTAGAGGTCCACAAGGGACGTGCAGGCTGCTAGAGGTCCACAAGGGACGTACAGGCTGCTAGAGTTACACAAGGGACGTGCAGGCTGCTAGAGTTACACAAGGGACGTGCAGGCTGCTAGAGGTCTACAAGGGACGTGCAGGCTGCTAGAGGTCTACAAGGGACGTGCAGGCTGCTAGAGGTCCACAAGGGACGTGCAGGCTGCTAGAGGTCCACAAGGGACGTGCAGGCTGCTAGAGTTACACAAGGGACGTGCAGGCTGCCAGAGGTCTTCAAGGGACGTGCAGGCTGCTAGAGGTCTACAAGGGACGTGCAGGCTGCTAGAGTTACACAAGGGACGTGCAGGCTGCTAGAGGTCCACAAGGGACGTGCAGGCTGCTAGAGGTCTACAAGGGACGTGCAGGCTGCTAGAGGTTCACAAGGGACGTGCAGGCTGCTAGAGGTATACAAGGGACGTGCAGGCTGCTAGAGGTCTACAAGGGACGTGCAGGCTGCTAGAGTTTCAAGCAACACGAATGGCGAGACGCGACAGAGGAGTCCCAAGAGCGGGGTTGTGCGTTGTTGGGGGCAGTCGAGGGCACCTCCGATTTTCACGGTTGTCTACGTCTGGCGCAAAATAAATTCTGTATACAACACAGACCGGCTGACGCCCGTGTCAGCCACGTGACGCCGCCGTGCTATTGACCAAGGGTGGTGATAGCGGTGATTTTAGAGCACCCGCATGGGTGTCATGGTTGCGTTTAACGCCCACGAGGAATGATTTACAACGAAGCGAGTTCTTCATTCCCCACGTCACGTGGGTCTTATTAATCTGTGCTGTGGCCGGCGTGGTGAAGTATGGTCACGTTATACCCCTCTCCCCCACAATAGGAGAATGCAGTCTGAAACTTCAAGTTCGGGCTAATATGAGCAAGATTTTGGAGTTCCCTTCCATAAGCGTGGGTTTCCATCGTCATACCACAGCAGAGTGGTACTGTATCACAACGGGAACTCGCCATTCCGGGAACTGAACAAGCCACCAGTGTCACGTGCTTTATTGCCCACTGCTAGATGGAGCCCACTGTTTTAATCTCTCTGCCAACACATTGCTGCCCCGTCTGAGCGAGGCGCTGTGTTGTAAGTTGCGGTATTGCCTGGCACAACTGCACCGGCGAGATAAGGGGAGCTTTATTTATTTTAATTGTGTGCCCTGGTTTTGGTGTCTGCTTATTGAAGCGATTTGCAGAGCGCGCGAGGGGGAACACTGCGTCCCAAACAGACGGAGCAGGCGAATTACACATTTATCGCTGTACCGGATGGGCAGACAAAGTACGTCGTGACCAAATCAGTGAAAGCGTCTACCAAATAATTGTAGGATGCTGCTACACGAGCATCCCACCCACGAAGAGAGGACACGAGCAGTGGCGTCTGCTGCCGGCCACGCGCGCACCGCATCCGTGTCAGCAGAGGGGCTGGGCTCGACTCCTGGGCCCCGTCCACACGCAGTGACCAGCAAGCAAGCGGGCATGGCGTGGCGGGGGCCCTCGTCCAGCAGTGGATTGACAAACGGCACGTGGACTGTACTACGCTATTTTATTGGCAGCTGCTGCCCAAGAAAGTCTGCGAGTCTCCCCGGTACATTCCGAGTCCTGGGGTTCGTCAGTTGCGTAACAATAGCCAGGAATACACCACTCAAGACTTAGCGCACTTACATGCTGTACGAAACTCTACAATATTACGATTACTACCCTTGCCAGAGCCTGTCCCGCTTTTAGTGTCTGTGGTGGCAAGCCCAATTTGACAGAATATAAGTACAGCCCCTAGAGGCCGCTACACCGCACTGCTGCTGCTGCTGCCCGTGAGAGCCGGTGTCTGTGTGAATAACGCACCACACGCACGGCGTCCTGCAGTCGCTGCTCCTGCCTGGGGTTTGGGCACGCGGCATTCACGGTGCCCAGCAGCAGCAGCAGAGAAAACAACAACAGCAAGGGCGAGACGGGAGAGGGAGGCTCCATGATCCGCTCCGCCAACACGATGCCGCAGCTCTCCAACTGAGAGCGCTGATCGTTACGTCACGCGCGTGGGCGGAGCGACGTCTTCCACTGGCTGTGCCCACCCCCCCACGGCGATGCACGAGCGGGAGGCGGGGCTAGTGACATCACTGAAAGATGGGCCTTGCCCCCCTATATTGGGAGGCGAAGCGAGTGACATCACCGCAAGCTGGGCCCCGCCCCTCAGTGTTGGTAGGCGGAGCGAGTGACATCACTGCAAGCTGGGCCCCGCCCCTCAGTGTTGGTAGGCGGAGCGAGTGACATCACTGCAAGCTGGGCCCCGCCCCTCAGTGTTGGTAGGCGGGGCTAGTGACATCACCGCTAGCTGGGCCCCGCCTCCCAATATTGGTAGGCGGAACTAGTGACATCACCGCAAGCTGGGCCCCGCCCCCTATATTGGTAGGCGGAGCGAGTGACGTCCCTGCAAACTGGGCCCCGCCCCCCTATATTCAGTTTCATGTATGAGGTGTAGCCCTGATTTAAAGCTTTCGTGACTGCAGTAATTCATATTCTTAGTTTTTTCGGTAAAGTCACGTTGAAGAGAAACAACAAAATAATAAAATATATATAAAACAATAAAAAAAATCTCACGACGTTTCGACCATAACTCAAACGGTCATCTTCAGGTGTGTTGGTTTGCATAAATTTATTTTTAAACGGCGCATTTATTTATTTATAAAAACGTTAGCGTCACGCGCAGCGATTTGGCAGTTTACCCAGGACTAGTCCATCTATGTTCTGAAAAGAGGAGGGGGGAGACGAAATTTTTTTATAATGTATGCTGTCTGAAAGCCAATGTAAGCGTGAACAATCAATTAAGAACTGAAATGGTTTATCAAATCTTTCCAATGATTGCTAAGATAGAATCCATCTTCTCGGTTGAAATTGTCTCTGTGCTTGTATATGTGGATAGCCTCATGAACGAATCTCTCATGGAAGCCAGATGGCTTACAAAGAACCTCTGTCTTGGAAAAGTCAATGGCATGTGAGCCTACTGAATTAGAACAATGATCTGCTACGGCCGAGGTGTTGGTCCTACCGTGTTTAAGGTCTGCTTTGTGTTCACGAATGCGGTCCGAGACATGGCGTTTGGTTTCTCCAATGTAACTACTACCACAGAGGCAACTTAGTTTGTAGACACCAGGGTATTGTATGTCAGAAGCAAACGCCATGTCTCGGACCGCATTCGTGAACACAAAGCAGACCTTAAACACGGTAGGACCAACACCTCGGCCGTAGCAGATCATTGTTCTAATTCAGTAGGCTCACATGCCATTGACTTTTCCAAGACAGAGGTTCTTTGTAAGCCATCTGGCTTCCATGAGAGATTCGTTCATGAGGCTATCCACATATACAAGCACAGAGACAATTTCAACCGAGAAGATGGATTCTATCTTAGCAATCATTGGAAAGATTTGATAAACCATTTCAGTTCTTAATTGATTGTTCACGCTTACATTGGCTTTCAGACAGCATACATTATAAAAAATTTCGTCTCCCCCCTCCTCTTTTCAAAATATAGATGGACTAGTCCTGGGTAAACTGCCAAATCGCTGCGCGTGACGCTAACGTTTTTTATAAATAAATAAATGCGCCGTTTAAAAATAAATTTATGCAAACCAACACACCTGAAGATGACCGTTTGAGTTATGGTCGAAACGTCGTGAGAATTTTTTTATTGTTTTATATATATTTTATTATTTTGTTGTTTCTCTTCAACGTGACTTTACCGAAAAAACTAAGAATAGGTGTAGCCCTGTGAGCCATGCGGCTCTTAACTCGGGTGCAACCGCAAACAAACAAAAATATGAACAAATAACATTTTAAAAGTGACGACGCGCAACAGAAACATCCAGGAAAAAAAAAGGAAAAATCTTCCAGAAAAAAAAACACCGTATATCAACGCTGTGTGCAAAAATCTCAGTGGGAATCAAGTCAAACAATAACCATAAGACAATTTAGATTAAGTTATCAGCCGTCCGAGCAGACGAACCCCCACAGCCCATGGGGCCCCAACACGATCACCTGGAGCACGCGGGCATGCAAGATGAAGCTACTGTGTTCCGTGTGCCATCGCAGCTTACGGCCACGATGCTTCTGTTGATGGCTGGCTCTGCAGTTTCTAAATGCGCACGCAGCTGTCCGCTTGTCGTAGAGGTAGGAGACGGCGACGAAGATGCCGACGCCGACGGCCGCCATGGAGAGCGCGACAATGACGGCACAGCAGCGCGTGCTTCTGGCAGCGCGTGCTTCCGGCAGCGCGTGCTTCCGGCAGCGCGTGCTTCCGGCAGCGCGTGCTTCCGGCAGCGCGTGCTTCCGGCAGCGCGTGCTTCCGGCAGCGCGTGCTTCCGGCAGCGCGTGCTTCCGGCAGCGCGTGCTTCCGGCAGCGCGTGCTTCCGGCAGCGCGTGCTTCCGGCAGCGCGTGCTTCCGGCAGCGCGTGCTTCCGGCAGCGCGTGCTTCCGGCAGCGCGTGCTTCCGGCAGCGCGTGCTTCCGGCAGCGCGTGCTTCCGGCAGCGCGTGCTTCTGGCAGCGCGTGCTTCCGGCAGCGCGTGCTTCCGGCAGCGCGTGCTTCCGGCAGCGCGTGCTTCCGGCAGCGCGTGCTTCCGGCAGCGCGTGCTTCCGGCAGCGCGTGCTTCCGGCAGCACGTGCTTCCGGCAGCACGTGCTTCTGGCAGCGCGTGCTTCCGGCAGCGCGTGCTTCCGGCAGCGCGTGCTTCCGGCAGCGCGTGCTTCCGGCAGCGCGTGCTTCCGGCAGCGCGTGCTTCCGGCAGCGCGTGCTTCCGGCAGCGCGTGCTTCCGGCAGCGCGTGCTTCCGGCAGCGCGTGCTTCCGGCAGCGCGTGCTTCCGGCAGCGCGTGCTTCCGGCAGCGCGTGCTTCCGGCAGCACGTGCTTCCGGCAGCACGTGCTTCCGGCAGCACGTGCTTCCGGCAGCACGTGCTTCTGGCAGCACGCTATTAAGCTGGAGAGAGAGACTCGTGTCTTTGGGCGCGGTCCGTTGTGTGGAGCCAGGAGCAGCTACAGCGTGGTCAGACCGGCGTGGGGTTTGAATAGAACAGATCGGCTCTACAGTACAGTAGTTGCCATATATTCACAACAGTGGGGGAAGTTTGATGTTGATTGGCGTGGCTCTGCAATCTACTTCGTGGGCCGAGTCTTCTGCGCGGGAGCAGGTGTTATCACTGAGCACACGCATCGATAGGTCGATTCTTGATTCCAAATGTTTGTTTTGTTAATGAAAAAACTCATAGAGATCTGCAAAAAAAGGATATTTTTGGATTATCCGTGATTTTTAATTATCCACGGCTGCCACCTCCCCCCCTCAATTGGCATGGATAATCGAGAGTCGACTGTACTGGCATTACAAGTAATTAATGAGCAAAATTCGTCAAGTGTAAAAATACGTTGGAAGACAAAAGGGAAGAAAACGTCTATGTGCTTGGGATCATAATTGTTGCCTTTGTAACCAGGTCATTTAGCTTCAAGATAAACGGTTCCATTGGCCTTGACAGACAGGGCCAGATCGCTTCTGAAAAAAGCTGTAAAGCTCAGTGGGATTTAACTGGTAAAATATATATTTTAAATAGTTTAGTTTTAAATAGTTTTAAAAATATATTTATTTTTTTGTAATTTGCTTACCCTTCCGATATACTTTGTTGATTGTTAACTTTTTGACCTGCCCCTACTGGACATCTGTACAAAGAACTTCATAGCTCATCAGATTTCTCCAGGATAAAAAAAAGATTCTGATTCTGACGGTGGGTATGGGATGTAGCCTTATCTCCTATTGTCCTGTCCTGATGACCTAACAACGTAGTATGTTGTATGATCAAAGTGTCACAGGTATTTGTCTGATGAGGACCCTCATCATCGAGATGGCCCCCGAGGAGGACCTGGAGGGCGGAGGTCTGCCTTGTTCCACCCCGCTCATCCCGAACCTTGCCTTTGTCCCGGCCCGTACTCAGTCCGTGCTGTGGTCTTGGGACTGAAGTGCCAGGTCGCTGGAACGCTGTTAGACCGCAGTGTCTCTAAGCACTACCGCAGCTGTGCAGGCGATCACATCAGAATGTTGTCCCATTTCATGGTTAGCACTTTGGAGAGGCAATGCTGGGTGGTCGGTGGCAGCCTTGCGAAGGTCCTCTTTTTGCCTGGGAATGTGGGAGCATGCAATGACAAGGACAGGAGAGCAGTCGTTTATGGGTTGGCTGGGGGTCAACCCAAAATAAAGCCGACACAAATAGATGAATTTTGATTTAAAGCTTTCGTGACTGCAGTGATTCATATTCTTGGTTATTTCGGTAAAGTCACGTTGAAGGGAAAAAATAAAATATATATTTTATAATTTTATTTTTTCAATGTGACTTTACCAAAAGAACCAAGAATATGAATAGATGTTACAAAATATACGCCCTTCTGTTCCCCACATATGTAAAGTCGTGTATACAATCTAGAGCGTGTTTGTTAAATCTTGACTTAAATCTTTCGTGACTGCAAGAATTCATACTCTTTGGGTCTTTCGGAAAAGTCACGTAAATAGAAAAAGTATAGAAAATCACGACGTTTCGATGGCAACACCAGCAATCGTCCTCAGGTGGATAAACATATCAAGAGAGCTGCTGAAGCAGCAGGGTGTTACATAGGCCTGAGATGGGTGCAGCCCAAGGGTAAGTGGGCGGGGTTGGAGAAGGAAGATCGAGGGCACCCCAAAGCTGTTGAGCTGAGATTGGTGCAGCCAAAGTGGCTGCACCCATCTCAGGCCTCAATGTGGCGGTAGCTACATTGACACGTTACTAATCTCTCACAATACAATGGCCAGCCCAACAGCTTTGGGGTGCCCTCGATCTTCCTTCTCTAACCCCGCCCACTTACCCTTGGGCCCCACCCATCTCAGGCCTATGTAACACGTTGCTGCTTCAGCAGCTCTCTTGCTATGTTTTTTCACCTGAGGACGATTGCTGGTGTTGCAAGTGACTTTACCGAAAGACCCAAAGAGCGTGTTTGTTTATAGTTCTGTACCAGTTTTATATCCTGCAATATTTTTGCTCTGCATTTGTCCTGGATTCATCCCAGATTTCCCTCGCAAAAGATGCGAGTTCCATGACAGGCCCCTCGTGTGCCTTAAAGGAAGACCGTGTGTTCTTCATCAATGTGATATTGTAGTTCATGCTCATGTTGGAACACAGAACACTCCACATACACCACCTGTATGTGCACGATGCTGTGAACACATTAATCTACACTATTCTATGATAATTAACCAAAGTTATTTCTCAATTCACAAGCGTAATTATTCAAATTCAGGATCACTGCATGTTGTGCAATGTCACAATATGGTAATTATTAGTCCACTAAGCCAACAAGACAGCGCTTATAATGATTAACCATCATATATGGACAATGTATATGCTGTGAAGAAAATTATGTTCATGAAGTTGATGTCGACATACATATTTATTTAGTTATTCAATTATTTTTCTTGTGTATCTGGTGCTGTAACTGTGTAAAAGCATTCGATAAATAAATACATCTATTTTCGTGTAATGTTTTTTTTAGTTGTACTAGGACCCATATCTTAAAGACATGGTCTTTGCCTACGGCATCTGGCAGTTCACCCGCATTAGGTTGGGTAGGCCTCACAGCTGATGAGGCACTCTATGTTGAAACCGGTCCAGACGTTACTTGGTGTTGAATCAACGCTGCTGAAATTGTTCAGTCCCAGAGGGTCCTTGTGGCCGATGGGAGGTGTAAAACATATTGGTATGTAGGAGGAGACGCATTGTCTGCTTATTTGTTGCTTGTGTCAGGACAGTACAGGGTGATGTAGGGACAGTACAGGGTGATGTAGGGACAGTACAGGGTGATGTAGGGACAGTACGGCTCCCCGTGGCCATGGTTACTAATTAACGTGACAGAACAGACAGGGTCACGTCAGGGTAACGTGGGACCTAAGTGGTCGTTAATAATGGTTGATGCGACGGGCACTGACAGGGTCGGCGTGAGGAGAATCTTGGAGCGGATCGTCTTCATCATCCTGGAACGGGCACCTTGTAGTCTTGAAAGGCTAGAGTTATATTGTCTCCGTGACCACTATGCATCCGCTCCTGTGTAGCTAGCCAACTACACAGAGAGCGTCGCGTAGAGTCAAATAAGTTACCCAAGTGTGTATAGTCACTCATGGTTACTCGTTAAGTTATCAGTGAGTCGGCGGACTTTATTCATAATAAATATATACATATAACTGAACAAGAAGGTGTCTCTGAGAGCTACATTACACTTGTAATAATACAAATACTAACCTATAGCTCTTTGTCAATCCCTTGCCAGATGAAGGACTCCCCACACTGTGTCAATGAGTTACCCACGATTCACCACACTGGTCAGGGCACATTGGCGAAATGAGGGGGCAGGACCAGTTCATGATCTCAGCCATTGTTGGGAATCAAACTCAAGATGCAAGGTTTAAACCACAGTGCGCAAACCGCCGCTCCACCACTACTCACGCCAAAGCAGCAGCCCCGGCAGGACGGTGTAAATCGCCCGGTGCTGGCTCAGCTTGCTGTGGAAGGCGCTGTAGCAGAGGCACGACACGGTGTCACGGTCCATCTGGGGCAGCCGCCCGCGCCCTGCGGAAGCGGTGCCACGGTGATCGGCATCTCCACATGGTCCGCGAGCGTTACGCTTCAGCCGCCAATACCAGGGTGCTCGCGAGCGGAGACTTCCGCTGCCCTCCTGCCCCTCACGGAATCAATGCTCCCCTTTGTTAATTGACGAGTCGGTGGGTTCAGGGTTAGGCCTCAAGCTAGGCGAGGATACACAGTGATGCAAACGTGGAATTTATATGCGAACAGACAAGGCTTGTATAATTTAACAATGGGAAGAACAAAAATAGTATGTATATTCGCACAAAAATGTAGCCAGCCTAAGACGACTAAAATTACTTAAAAATTAGGTTTAACTGCACATGGCTGCCCAGATTCAAATTGAAGCTTCTCCCCAATAGCATATTCAGTCACCCGCGTGTTGTCGTGATGGCATTTCCCTACGGGTGTCATTACCTCCCCGTGTGGGATTCACCAGCTCAGATGCACGCTTGACCTGCCCGTAGTACTCTGTGTGGGTTAATGCATAAATACGCGCACGTGCCAGGCATTACGTGTGTGTAGACGGCAAGAAAACATGATGCAACATTGCACACTGAGACACACTTGCACTGGGGCTGAACTGACCCTCTAGCAACCGTCTCATTTATATCCTTAACCACTGTTACATTTGTGTTATGAGACACAACACCAGAACTAAACTACACGATTGCCCCTTCCCCAATGCACAGCTGACCTCTGAAAAAATTGCTGTGACGTTAATACAAGTCACAGGGATGTAAATAATACACACACTCAATATAAGAGGCTCCAACAAGCCATTGCTTCAATCCAATAAGCGAGTTTTAGTTTATTATTTACAGGATGTCACTGCAAGGACCTCTTGGAGCAGTAGTGCAGTGGGTAGCTCGCTGCACTACGAACCCAGAAACCCAAATTCGATTCCCGCTAATAGCGAACATCAGTGACGATTATCTGAACCAGTCCTGGGTTCTCCTAGGTCGACTCAGCCTCAAATGAGCACCAGGTGCGATGTGTAAACATCGCCACTCAGGAGACAAAGTTAGCTGGGCATGGTGCTGGCCACCCACCCCCTCATGTGCTCTGCCGGCCTTCAGAGGTGCTCGCTAACAGCACATGTCCATACAGTCTATTAAGGCTATATGGGGGATCTTGTGCGTTAAAGTGCAGTTGCACAGAGCTACTTGAACATTCCATGTGGCCCCGTTAAGGAGAGGCTTCCCCCACCCCTACTCTACGATTTATTGGTCGGGTGGGGGGGTGGCATGGCACAAACACCGAGGTGGCCGCTCGCTCACCTTCGTTGTGCTTGAGGAGCAGTGCGGAGACGCAGGTGGCCGTCTCCTCGACGACGGACAGCAGGAAGCCGGGGTTATTAGCAGCCTTCCCGAACAATGGCAGCCGGCGCACGCACGCATGGAACCTGGCCGGGGACACAAACACCGCCGCGTCACGCTGCCGACACGTGCGGGAACGTTCGCCTTGACACGTGTCTAAGCAGGCACACGTAAAGATCCCTGTGCAGCCTTAACAGACTGTTGGGGTAAGTCCTATTAGCGATGTTTACAGACTGCACCAGACACTCACGGGAGGCCCAGGACCGGTTGCGATATACGTCTCTGGTATTCGCCGTGAGCGAGAATCGAACTCGGGTAGCCGGGCTCTTAGTGGAGTGCGCAAACCACTGCCCAACTGCTCTCGACCAACAACAGTCGCCATTTGCCACGATGTGGCGGTGATGTCACCGTGGCACTTGTGCCAGGCTAGGTATACCTTGAGGCCACGTGAAGTGAGGAATACTCACTGGCAGGACATCACAGGGATAGACCAAAAGTGCCATAGGTTCACTGAGATGACTGGCAGATGCACCAACTATGCTCTCCACTGTGCCAACTTGCTGCACGTTAGTGTGAACATCACACCTTTGCCCTCTACTGTTCTTGAAGAGTGACTGCTTCCAGCTGCCCCGTCTCATCTCTTAACGAGCCTCCTCCATAGAGGCCAATCTTGACACTGCTGGTACCGGTCATCGGCAATTCCACTCAGCTCTACATCCTTCTGAAATTACATCTGCCCAGCTCTTACCTAGCCCGTGCCATGCCCGTTTAGGCCACTCTATCTGAGAAAACAAAAGCTGCTTGGGCAAGCGGTGGCTGGGCATGTGGGCAACACAACCTAGCCAAAGCAGCTTCGCTCGCTGGAGGACCTCACTGATGGGACTGTGTCTAGATCTTTCAAGGATCTATGAGCTCACACAATTCAGTCTGGTTAAACCCAAGATGGATCATAGGCAGGCCAGCCTGAATGTTTCAAACCGGCGCAGATGTTCCTTCAAAGGGGTCCACGTTTAACAAGCATAGCCAAGAGAGGGCATAACTGTGGCCGAGAAGGCCTGGAGCTTCGCATGGAGCGAAAGCCCAGGTAACTTTCACACAGGGTTACGCAGCTCATGAAAAGATAATGCCGCTCGATTGATCCTGAGCGACCGAGCGAGCCTCATACCAGAAAAGGCTCACCTGTAAGCCTGAAGCTGTAGCGTTTGGTACAGGTTTATCGTCACTACGAAGAAGCTGTTTATCTATGGGCGCACACGCACAGCAGACCACGCATGAGAGAGAAGACACTTAGCTGGTGGGTCATAACGTCTGTTGGCACTTAACCATGTACGTGAATCAATCGCAACACCAACATATTCAAAACTGGACCCCAGTAAAATGTACAATGCATATTTGACAGTACATTTGTAGGAGTGATTGTCATTCACCATTCTGCAGGCCGGTAGTTCCCCTTATTATCAATAGGGGGCAGAAGCGTTACCACGCCTAGGCGAATGTCCATGGGCCAGAAAGGGGCCAACGACAGATCCCAGTAAACGGATCCTAGGACATATTCCCCAGGCCCCCGGGTGGGGGGAACCGGGGGAATGATGTCACCTTCCAGGATGGTCCAGAATGTTCCAGAAGGAAGGCGTGGCTAGGGCGGGGTAAGCCACGAATGAGATAACTAAGCCAGAGCTCTCAGAGCTCTGGCTCAGTTATCTCCACGCTGAAGACTGAAGACCGGGCTGGAGAATAGGACCCTGGACACCAAGCTCCACTGTCCTTCTAAGGGCCGGAGCTCAGTGAGGCCAGTGGTCAGGACCCACGGACCAGGAGGTCGGGTCAGATAGCCTCCCCTAGGTCCCAGCCGGAGGACGATAGGGAATGGGTTACCCAGTGATAGGTCCCGTATAGTCCGGAGGCCATACCTCCCCAGGTATCGGGTAAAGGGACTGATATACCTTTTGTGTTAGGGACCGTATAGTAGAGACAATTAAATATCGGTTGCCTCATAAGTTTATTCGTCAATATATACAACAACACACATTCATAGAGCCGAGAAGATCAGAACTTAACTATCTGCTGCTCGGTGCACACAGTTCTCGGTGAACCTTTCTATGTACACCACCCCTAATACACATGGCCAGCGCATGAGCCACATGCAGTAATAGCAACTGTTGGCGGATTGACTCAGCCCATCAGCCCCCTGGATAGCTAAAAGTGAGTACCACTTTGTGGAGAAGTCAACAGTGGTTGTCCTCATGGGATAGACTCACCCCTGCCAAGGAAATGTGACATTTCCACCACTGGCTCAGGGCTATAAACATGAGATGAGCACCTCCTCAAACCGTGGCAAATACGTTCACATGGCAACGGGACCACACGGCCAAGGCGACAAGATTTTGGCAGTTTCGCCAACGCGTGAACCGACCCCGCTGACTTTCCTTTGGCCGCATCGCCGTTTGAATTGTCAACACGCGCCCCCATCGTCATCGGGGTCACGCGTGACTGCCTTCACCTGCAGGTCCAGGAGGATGGGCTGACACTTGAGACGCAGCACGTGCATGAGCTTGGTGCGCATGGTATGCCCCGGCTGGGAGGCGAAGCAAAGGCTCATGGTCCAACTGACCTGCACCTTGCTGTAGCTGCACACGGAAAAGCATTGACATGTTAGCTCCGTCTGTCTGTAAACATCCGGGCACGAGCAACATTGCAGTTTGTGCCTCGTCACACGAAGGGCGACCTCTCCGGCGGATTGAAGCTCGTGGAGGTAACGTCTCGCGTTGTCTCGCACCCACCTGGAGTAGTTTCCCAGCACCTCCAGTGTGCGGGTGTTGAGCAGGAGGCCGCACCACGGCAGGAGCCAGTGCAGAGGCAGCTGCATGAAGCCGCCGCTGTCGTCGCCGTCGTCGATCTCCGGCGCGAAGTTCACCACCGTCTTGTTGCGACTCACCGTGCAGCCGTACGTGGGCATGCCGCCAAGCAGCAGCCTGCACAAGACAGCACGGCACCGTGGTGTGCGGGGAGGGTAAGCAGGGCTACATGGAGACAGGCCAACAGTGAGGGTCACACGGCTTACCCGGGTGTGGGAGAACTCTATGGGCTGGTGTTCGTTAATATAAATTAGTCATTTCATCCACATTACAAAGTTATAACGATAATGGTCTACATTGTCAGCAGAAGGCAGTGCTGCGACATCTATTGTGCCGATCCGTGTGCCCCAACGGACTACGCTCCACCAATTTAACTTCTCCCACCCGCACTGACCACCGTGAAGTATGGTCAAATATCCCCCACAACCCGCATGCTATAGGGAGGCCCTCATCCAGCAGGGGACTAACAAAACAGCGGTCGATTTACAAGAACAATAACGATGATGATGTTGTTATCCAGGCAAGCCTCACCGCGTCTCACACTGAACACGCAGCACACACACACACACAAGGAGAACATTCAGGCACACTGCTCCAACGTCCACAGACAGGTTGATGAGCCCGCTTGTTGTGCTGCCATCTCCTGGCCATCTCACAGCCAAGCGGTTTTGCAAATCTGCACCATTTACCAACCCTTGCCTCCAAAATGAAAAAAAATAGTTGGCGATGTTGCTGGTGCAATGGGCATGGTGCACAAGCTCAAATAACACTAAAAAACTCGTTCGCCAATAACACTGTGGCCTTGAAAGTAAATATTTATAATAGGTGACGTTTCGGATAATGGCCCTTCTTAAAAACAGATCGCTGCACTTTCCTCAAAAGTGCTGGCTCATGGGCGTGGTACCAGCAAACAGGGAGACAAAGGCGGAGTGGAGTTGAGTGCTGCACCTTTTGCCTGTCACTCACTGAACTGGGTGTTGAACCTGCCAGACTACATATGTCAGCATGTACTAGGAATCAATGTCATGTTGCTGTTGGCAACAGTCAACACCCCTCGCTCTGATCAGCCACCAAACTGTTCAGCGCCCAGGCTGACCTATCACAATCACCAGGGCTTAGCGCTGATATCACCAATAAAACCTCTCAGAAGCGACACATCTGCTGGGATGAGTGTAACGTGTTCCTCATTGTTATTACTACTAATACAATTGTTTAACCAAGAAACCCTCGCTGATTCTCAAGCCTAATGTTCAGGAAGATCCTGCCAAGTTTTATATGTGGGTATGTGGAACTCCTTCCGCACTATACATAGCCAACTGCGCTAATTGTAGCTGCGGGATAATCAAGGATGCAGGGGGTGACGTTGCTGCTGCGTGTAATCCCAATTGAGTCAGTAGGTACTGTACCTTTTTAGCATCGGAATGTTTGGCCAATATCAGTTACATTGAATGTGTTTATATCTGCTGCTGGGATGTGTGTTTGTGTGTGTTTATATCTGCTGCTGTTTGTGTGAAACACGGAACCGGCGTTCTGCTGCCTGCGTGCACCTGCACACCCGGGCGTACGCGCTGGGTTTGTCGTGAAGTCGGGGAGCGGAGGCGCTCACCGGAGGAAGTGGTTCGCCTTGTCCAAGTGAGGAGTCACCAGCAGGAAATCATCGGTGAATCTCATGAGCAGACTGGACAGGCACGGCAGACACACGCATACAATTCATTATTTATCTTGGCATTTCAATGGCGCTGCTTAAATGCTTCAGTAACTCAAAGCACCTTACAATATTTGAAGGGCACCCCCAGTCGCAGCTGTCCCTGTGCGGCACAAGGTGATGACTCAGCACCGGCCTGCAATTGGACATGTTTGTAGGGGTGCGATGCTGCTACATGTAAATCCCGATTCAGTCATGTGTGGGTATTTTATCAAATTTGTACCACGTCCACTGTGAAGCAGCAGGTGGTGCGTATATTATGGGTAATACCCACCACAGTATTACCTCAGGTGGTGAACGTGCGACCGCTTTGTCACATCGCCACCCCAGATCTGTGGTGACGAGGAGATGCTGTCACTCTCGCCTGGTATGCAGGCGACCATGGGTTCGATCCTGGATGCTTACGATGCCTGTTGTTTATTCTGAGGCTGCGTGTTCTCTCTCCCCGTAGTGGTCGCATGTATTTTTTATGTGGGTCCTCCGGTTTTGCCCTCCAGATTTAGAAGCATACGTTTAGATCATTTGGCTATAACTATAAATCCCTACATATGCTGATAAGCCACTTCGATGAGCTATATCACGTGTGGCAAGGTCGCCTTTTAAAAAGAGCTAAATGCTCATCGGGCTTTACCGAGTAAATAAAATAGTTTATAGATCCAACATTAAACCTACTGCTGCTGCTCCAGGCGGAGGCACATCTGGGCTGTGTTGTTATAAAGTTACGAGCCACCCTTAAATAAATATTCTGATTCTGTGTATAGGCTGGGCGAGTGAGGTTGGGGGGAGGACACACCCGTCCTGCTGCACGGTGGACAGCATCGACGTCTCCATGTGGGCGTAGCACAGGTTGCACAGCAGCGTGGACAAGGGGCTGCCCTGGGAAATCCCACGGCGCTGCCAATAGTACCTGCGGCGACAGCAGCGGCGACAGCAGCGGCAACGCCACTTGAGAGCGGTGGCAACCACGGCGGTGCCACTCGTACGGCGCAACCGTGAGCGCCTTGCACTCATGGCGGTGGCCCTCACGGCAACAAACGCGTGCGCTCTGTTTCCGGTAGTGAAGTGCCACGCCCTGTGTCTTTCGAGGGTGAACGCAGCCGCAAAGTCACACGGTCACAACGTCACTGTGCCTGCAGCAGTGGCGGCGGAGGAAGGAGAAACATAACTGGAGGGGGCGGTTGGTGTAACAGGTATCATCAGCACTACACTGGTGCCTGCACACGATGCGAGGTTGCCGAGTGTGCGGCGTGAGGCCAGGAGGGAGCGGTGCTGGCTGCTCATTAACAATAGGCTATAGATTCACGTCAGAATCATAATTTTTATGTAGACTGGAGGAGGAATCCCATGAGCTATGAAGCTCTTTTTCACAGATGTCCAGTAGGGCCGGGTCAGCAAGTTCCATGTGAAGGTTTAGATATGAATAGATAAACACTGTGCATTTACCGGCAACGCTTACGATGGGGATATATGTTAAGGGATGTAGCGCTCACGCTTTACAACATGTAGGGGCGGCATCTGGATGGGCTTGGGCCTACGCTCCTCCTGGCCTGTGGGAGCAAGTAGCTTATGGTATTTCACCATGGGCCAGATTGTTCATCTCAAGACGTCACCTTTGGTCGATGATGATCACGTTGTTGAGGAGCAGTCGCTCGAGGGTCTCGGAGACCATAACAGATGTCAGCGTTGTATCCAGCCACTGCACAGACAGGTCACGCAAGGACACGATGTGTGCACAGATTTCCTCGACAGCACAGAACATGTATATCCATACGCTGTCAACACAAAAACTTCCCCCTATAGCCTTTAACGGACTTTTGGGGCAAGTGCTATTAGTGAGCACCTATTGAGGCAAGCACACACACCGGGTACTCATTTATGGCCGAGTCCCGGACTGGGTCAGATGTTCATCACTGAATATTTGTCGTGAGTGGGCATCAAACTCGGTCCCCCGAGTTCATAACGCTCCTTACACTGCTCTGGACCGCTCCCCACCCCGCTACCTAACACTCTCCACACGACGCCCCACCACTCCTCAACGCACCCCACCGCTCCCCACACTGTTCATACCACTCCGCACACCACTCCCTACCACTCTCCACACCGCTCGCTACCACTCCCCACCGCTCTCCACCGCTCCCTGCTTCCCAGACTGCTCCCTATCACTGCCGTGTCAGTGAAGGTCGCAAACAAAATGTAACAAACACAAATGCAATTAACAGTTATGGTCAAATATACTTAGCAGTCCCCAGTCTGCGATCGGCACAGGGTGATGTGACATCAGCCATGAGAGTTCTGAATGGGAATTCCTTCTTCTCATGGCAGGGCTAATTTTAGAATTTGAAGATGATTCGGGGAATCACTGATGAGTCATAAGCGTAAGAACAGATTTGCATGTCTAATAATCGATATACGATAGGTCACGGTGTCTGACTGAAGAGTTGACCCAGAGTTAGCACACCTGGGTAGGTGAGCCCTGCGCCCTGCTATCGGCAGGTATGCCAACTCTCATATTAGTTATGATACGGAAGAGGTTTTTGGGGTTAGATCGCGTAAATATATAAATGTGTCGTTAAACCCGCCACCACCCGACACAGCCAACTAGTAAGGGCTGTCACGTAAACATAACGTGGCCAATTCCTCACTAGTACAGCAGACCGGTGTGTTGGAGAGCCAAGCCACAACATTTACAATCTGAGTACGACGTTTTGCCAGTAATTACAACTAGCTTCATCAGGCGACAGCCAGATTTGTGGAGAAGTCCACCTGTTTCGTTCCTTATATAGAGGCGTAGATGTGTTGACAACGCAGCTGCGCTCTTGCGCAATGTGGGGGGGGGGGGGGGGATTACTGAGGCAACATACACTATGCATGTGGATTATGCGAGCCCTTTGAACTTGTCCTCCCTGTCTATTGTGTTTATTAAAATAGCCCTACCAACGGTAATCCCTATTGAAGTACGCTATATTTAAGCGATCTAACCCAAAAACCTCTATTATGGATATTGGTAGTGAAAGCCTACGTGTTAAACTTAGTTATGATAATCTGTGCTGTATGTACTGCATGATGCTGCAACTTAGGAGAGTCGACCCACAAAAGCTTGCATTGTCAGGATGGTGGGATGGGCTCAACACACACAGCCGGGGACTGATCCTGCAGGAAAGAGCTAATTCTGGGTGACCACCTCAAACAGACGACGAAACTTTTTGTGACATCTCATCCAGGCAACCCTGCGCGCCAGTTAGGCTACAGAGTCACGGCCAGGGGCCTCCTCACCTGCTCCACCACGATGGCGTTGTGCAGGGACGAGCATCTCTGTTGCTGGCTCACGAAGCACGACATCTTGGGCTGGAAGTGGGTCGACGAGCACGCCTGTACGAGCGCCACGCGCAGCATGAGCGCCGCTCAACACATTGTCCAAAACCCGACACGTGGCCTCACGCAATCAATCCCAGTAGCGCCGACACCCACCGCCGTCCTTGGTTAGTGTGTCGAGCCCGTGCGTCCCACTATGGCAATGGAGCGGTAGCGCAGCGGTTAGCGCGCTACGCTACGAAGCCAGCTACTCGAGTTTGATTCCTGCTCAAGGCCACCAACACCAGTGATGATTATCTGAACCGGTCCTGAGCCTTTCCAAGGTCGGCTCAGTCTCAAATGTGTACCTGGTGCAGTGTGTAAAGATTACTACTACGGAGACAAAGGTGGCCGGGCTTGGTGCTGCCCAACCACCCCCTCGTGTGCAGTGCAGGCCTTCATAGGTGCTCGCTAACAGCACTTGCTCCTACAGTCTGTGCAGGCTACACGGGGGATCTTGGTAATGTCGGGCTTCACATCTTCAGTACCGATTCACGACAAACACAGCTCTCATGGAAACATAAATGTCTCACAGTCAATAACAAGTCACTCCAGTGATGTTTATGTTTCTATGAAGATGTAAAGACAGTGGTAACAGGAGGTAATGAGAGGGGAATTAGCATGGGAAGAGACAAGGGGCCACAGGGGGTAATGACAGGTTAAGGAACAGACATTGGAACGATCTGCGGTGTGTGAGAAGGATCGAGAATAGGGGCTGTGGCCAAGTGATAGAAGGGAGCGGATCAGGGACCGAGAGCCATCGAGAAGGTTCTAGAGAAGGAGCGTGGCCAAGGGTCAAGGGATGGCCACGCTGAGGATAAAAGGGGTCGAGAGGAGAGGCTCGGGGCTGCTGTTGGAGTTGGGGTCTTCGCCTGTCAAGTGTACGTGTCTATAATAAAGATCATCACAAGAACAGTGTCTCCTGGAGTCGATACAAATTAAATAATTTACATGCATTTATTGTAATATTGTTGGTCGAGTTTGCCAAAAGGTGCATTAATTATCATGAAATACAATCACTAATTCTCACAAGGACCATTCAGTGATGTAGCATAAGGTTGTGGTGGGGGAAGCGTCGATGTGGAGGCCGTCAGGGCAGAGTACCTGCTGCCGGAAGGCTTTCTGCATGACGCCCTGGCGGTTGGCCCACACCACGACGTACTTGCGGATGATGTACCCATCTTTCGTCTGGCGACTGCCGACGATACTTTTTACCACGTCTACAGTTGTATGCTGGGGGATGGAGTCAAAGGCTCCTTTAATGTCCACCTTGGTAGGGCGGGAGGGACGGCAGCACACAGATTAAAGGTCAGGGTGGTGCGGACGGCTGGACGAGTTGCAGATGGGGGGGCGGGCAGCAGCTCAGCTGGCACGAAGGAGCAGAGCAAAGGGAGCGACCGCCTATCGTCGAGCAGAGGCCACATGGACGCTGCAGCTGAAGGCCTCACTCAAGGGAGGCGGAGGGTGCGATGCTGCCACCTTGACAAAGTAGAGCGGCCGCGCGGGGGATTGGCGTGGGCGGGCGAAGTCGCGCCACTTCCGGTAGATATCGTCGCTCCCCAGCACGGAGGAACCCAGCCAGGCCGGGTCCGCTGTCACCTCGTAGTTCAGCACCGCAAACACCGACTTGATGGCCCTTTGCACATTCTCGCCCTGCATGGCGACAGAGCCCCGGTAAAGTCACAGCGCGCACACGTGTCCGCTTTGGACGTGTAGGGTTCTTACTTTAAACAACATTGCATTACCTGTCGGAAGTGGCCAGGTAACACTCCACGGGGATAATTTGCATGTCAAGAGCACCAAGTCGGCACCACTGAGACTCTGGGCTTAAATGTGGGCACCTACCCAGGCATAAACTGGGTTCTCAACTTCTGAAGTGTAAAACATTATTATTATCAGTCTATGGACTCCGATCACTGATTGCACGAAAAATACCTACGATTTATAATTGATTTTGAGTCAGATTTTGGATCAGATTGCATTAAGTTAAATATATATCTATTCGTGTTCTGCTAAAGCTGGACTAAACTGGCACGTTTGTTCACATGATAACTTTATTAACTAGCTGTTTCTGATGGAAGAGGGTCACAAAAGCCGACGTGAAAGAAAACACCTACATGGAGCATCTGACTTATCTTCTTCCAGTTCCGAGGACATTAACGTTGCTTTCCCAGACAACGAGCCGACTTTGCAGGCCACACTGCAAGATGCGCGACCTAAAGAGGGCCTGACTGAAGTGGCTTCAAAAGTAGTTCCGTGGCATCATCTTCTGGGTTTGCTAAGCAAGACATTGTTTGTAATGCTCACGTGCGTAGATTTGTACACGACACAATTATCGTGCAAAATATATACAAATGTTACATTTAGCCTAGTGAAAAGAACAAGACGGTACAAATGAGACAGCAAATGAGAACATGTGTAAAAACAAATTCTGTTCTTAAACTAGTCCCACACCTTTCAAGACATTTGGCCAGCATGGAGGCATAAGCCAAATACCCTCCAGAGCGCCTCTTCAGAGCAACCTCAAGTCTAGCCTCTTTTGCAGCAGTGGCGTGAGCAAACAATTGCGGGGCTGCACCTTCGCCTTTAGCTCGTATCATTATTATTAATGTAGGTTAGGTGGTGTACGCAGGGCGGCAATAACGAGTCATGGTCATGCTGTGATGGTGCGGGGGCCCCCGCCTTCTTCCTGGGCTGCCGACCCAGCCTCCTGGGCCGCATGCAGATGATGGGACGCAGCTCCGAGCCGGACTTGGGCAAGAAGCGCAAAAAAGACACGGGGATGACCGTGTCCCCCCGCAGGACGTTCTGTCTCTCCATGTCCGTCAGCTCCTGCAGCTTCCCCTGGACCACGAATTTCCTGCGCAGTGGCACAGACACGGCAGTCAGCGCTCAATCCCACGCAGCTGCCCATGCAGTTGAGCGACATTTCTCAAAGGGTGAGTCACGACCCCTGGACGGTGCCTGCCATCAGACGTGGGCAACTTATAAATCACAGTGATGGTCTTTGCTAAAATAACATAACATCTTGTGTTTCTACTCGTTTTAACAATTATAAAGTAACATTAAGGTCCACTGGTTGTCAATATTATAAGTTTATTTTGTTTAACCACGCGAAGGCCCATAAGACCAGGATAGTCTCATTTGCAAAAGTGACCTGGGTCACCAAAATGACAAAAGCAAAAACATAAAAACGCAATACAACAATGAAGGCAATAGAAATCAGAGAAAACACAACCACGTAACAGAAAGAAATGTGAAGTATAGCATGAAAAAATATATTTCCTGCAGCGAAAGTTGCTTCAGGCTAATTTTAAATATCGTTCGTAGTAAATTTAAGTTACAGAAACATAAAAATGGATTGAGGGTGATCATTGCACCGGTATGTAAACTGACAGCGACACATGTCAACGGTATGTTTCAGCCACTTCCAGATTGCCCTGAGAAAACCCATGCAAGTGTAGTGACTGGGAATGTCACTGTGTGGTGCTGGGCCTGCGAGGCCACGGCGGGATGTCTACTGTTGTGTGTACACCCCGGACACGGGGTGTAGCAGCAGCCCTAGTGGGGGCTTGGGTGAGCGCTGGTTCAGCGTGGTGGCACCACGCACAGCGTGCGGTGTGGGCTCCCGTTGAGAGAGCGAGTGTCAGCCAGCTGGGGTTACGTTGGGGGCACGATACTCTGGCTGACCCGGGGACATGTGGCCGGATGATACTGGAGTCGGGCCACCGGTGGAGGGGGCCAATGGGTGGTCACGTGGTCCGAGAAGAACTCTCGAGAGCCTTCGGGCAAGGGCGAGTGAGATCGAGGTGGGCGGGGCGAGAGGCGGAGCCAGCCCATATAAGGGGGGCCCTGTGAAGAGCTCGGGGTTCTTACTGTTGGAGAGGAAGGAGATCCACGTCAAGCTTGAAGAAGCTTCCAACCACGCGGTCCGGGACCCAGCTTGTGGTCCGGACCGGGATAGTGGAACCGTGTCTAGTTCCGCCGTAGCGTGGTGAGTTGGGTGGTCACCACCCGAGAGTATGTTGTGTTAATAGCCTGGAGTGTGTTGTGTTAATAGCCTGGAGTATGTTGTGTTAATAGTCTGGAGTGTGTTGTGCTAAGAGTTTAATAAAACGTGTTGCTCCCTAAGACAACGTCTGCGACTCAGTTGGACTCACTACACATACAAAACATTATCATCAAAACAATTCTGCACACACAGATCAACAACTTTTAGTACTGCGCGCTACTGTACCACCTCATGCTTGAGCCTGTCGAAGTCTCACGCACACACCAATCTTTGCGTGATCCACCAACCCTACCTCCGAACAGCTGGGTTACCGGCGACCGCGACGCTCCCCTCTTCCTCCACGGTTCCCCTCAGGGCTGCGAGCGTCTCACCTGGAAGCGGTGTGCAACAAGCGTGCCCACGCCTTCTTGCGAAAGTAGAGCAGGTGGTTCTTCGTGAAGTTCGTTATAGTGACGTAGAAGAAGGACCTGATGGCCTCCATGATGAAGTCAGTCATCAGCCAGCTCACAAACTGCGCCAGCAGCTCCTCGCATTTCCTGTGCTCCGAGGGGGAGGGCCGCTCCCCTCCTGGGAACAAGCGCACCTCCGATTAGCGCGGTCGGCTACGTATGGTGCGAAAGAAGTTAAACTTACATACACCGCTCGTGTCACGCACATTGTGAAACATTGTCATCATGCAGAGGGGCGGTGACGTGGCCAAGCGGCAGCGCGTTAACCATACAATACTGCAGGTGTGTGTTAACCATACAATACTGCAGGTGTGTGTTAACCATACAATACTGCAGGTGTGTGTTAACCATACAATACTGCAGGTGTGTGTTAACCATACAATACTGCAGGTGTGTGTTAACCATACAATACTGCAGGCGTGTGTTAACCATACAATACTGCAGGCGTGTGTTAACCATACAATACTGCAGGTGTGTGTTAACCATACAATACTGCAGGTGTGTGTTAACCATACAATACTGCAGGTGTATGTTAACCATACAATACTGCAGGCGTGTGTTAACCATACATTACTGCAGGTGTGTGTTAACCATACAATACTGCAGGTGTGTGTTAACCATACATTACTGCAGGTGTGTGTTAACCATACAATACTGCAGGTGTGTGTTAACCATACAATACTGCAGGTGTGTGTTAACCATACAATACTGCAGGTGTGTGTTAACCATACAAGACTGCAGGTGTGTGTTAACCATACAATACTGCAGGTGTGTGTTAACCATACAATACTGCAGGTGTGTGTTAACCATACAAGACTGCAGGTGTGTGTTAACCATACAATAATACTATGCCCTGTCTACTTCACTGTGGACGTCAAAGATGCCATTATGTCATTCGAAAAGAGGAAGCCATTGTGTTCTGATGTCAAGGTCCAAATTTCAAAATGTACTCTCAGTGCCCTGTACTCCTCAATCCTGCACGTGCCTCTAACAATCACAACCCCGATTTAAAGCTTTCGTGACTGCAATGATTCATCTTCTTTGGTTCTTTCGGTAAAGTCACGTAGAATGAGAATAAAATAATAAATTGATAAAATAAAATAACAATAATATTCTCATTATTGTTATTTTATTTTATCAATTTATTATTTTATTCTCATTCTACGTGACTTTACCGAAAGAACCAAAGAAGATGAATCACAACCCCCTTTTTTGAGGCATTTTCTCCATTACATTCTATTATATTAAATCGTTCACCCAATGCAGCTATGACAGGTATATCATCCTCTGCATGGAGCTATACTTAAACACCGGAAGTGTATTTTCTAGATTGTTGGTTAAGGTGCGGCTCTCTGAACTGCACAGTAACACGGATATTACTCCGGCATGTTTTCAGATTGAAAGTCGATCTCACCGCTCTTCCAAAGTAGATTACGTAGTCCATCACAATCCCAGCTACTAACACCATCCTCATAAGGCCCTGTTTTGTACAATATAGCAACTAAACATATGCAGTCCTCCACCACCTCCACGTTTTCTCTTCCAGCTGACGCCTGCAATAGATATGGGGCACTCAGCTCTGAACGACTGCTACCAAGCAAGTGACAATGCAGTAAATATTCTTGGTTCTCTCGGTAAAGTCACGTAGATAGAAAATAAAAATAATAAAATAAATTTCAATTCACAAATTAAAATAATAATAAATTAGAAATAATAAAGGCAAAAAACCCCATGACGTTTCGATCGCAACACAAGCGGTCTTCGTTAAGGGGGGGACAACAGAGGGGGCAAGCCTCCAAATGCCACTGCTTCTAAAAGGGCTTCCAAAGTGAGTGGGCAGGGGACGAGAGCTGAGAAGAGGAGGAGGCCTGCGTGGCGCAAACAGCATGGGCGGGGCAGCCAGTGAGCCAGTGACAATGTCGGAGTAGACAATGGGGGAGCTGGGAGGAGGAGAGGTGAGCGGTGTAAGTCAGCCAGTGACAATGTAGGAGAAGACAATGGGGGGAGGAAGGGGGTAGAGATAGGGGGAGATAGGGGGAGAGAGGGGGCGGGGCATTGCACCTCGCTACACCCATCCACACTGCTGACGGTAGAGGTTGACAAGAAAACACAAATCAAGTCATGACCCAAAGTGGTTGATGACATCTTTGCAATGAATCCCGAGTTTAAAACAGTCGTCTCGGTTGAAAGTTTGTCTGTGTCTGTATATATGGATGGCTTCGTGAACGAATCTTTGTTGATAGCCAGTCAGCTTGCAAAGTACCATCGTCTTAAAGAAATCAATTTCATACGAGCCAGCCGCATTAAGTAATGATCAGCCACGGCAGAAGTATTGGTCCTGCCGTGTTTCAGATCTGCCTTATGTTCACGAACACGGTCCGAGACATGTCGTCTAGTTTCCTCAATGTAACTGCTGCCTCAGATACAACTTAATTTGTAGACGCCGGGATATTGCATGTCAGGAATCTTGTCCTTCACAGATGGGATCATATTACTAATTTTATGCACTGTGTTAAATTGGACCTGGATCTTGTGTTTATTCAAGATTTTGGAAATCTTTTTGGTTACTCCTGCTATGTAAGGCAAGGTGATGGTTTGATTGGATTTTCAGATGGCTCCTTCCTCTCGGTTGGGGTGATGGCTTTGCGGATTGTGTAGTCAGAATATCCATTCGCCTTGAGAGCCTGGTGTACATGTTTGAGTTCACTGGTTAGGTGTTCACCCGCCTAGCCAGGGTCTGGCGTACCCTAGGACCAGTGGACATTACTACGGTCCAGTACACACACACACACACACGAGTACTTAAAATTGTTTGGTCTGTACACGAACAAACACATACACTATACACACGAGCATATGCGTTATATATGCCGTACACGTATACCGTACAGTAGATGTGTACGGTGCAGCTAGCCGATGCTTCGCTGGTGCTCGGGAGGGGGCTGCGCGAGGAGGCGCCGTGCCCCTACCGAGGTGCAGCCAGGCGCAGTCTTTGACGCGCACGCCGGAGAGCATCTCGCGCAGGCCGACCGCGTCGTGGTGGCCCATGCCGAGGCTCCGCTTCACCGACCGCATCACCTTGCGCCGGTTGTGGGCCGAGCCCCACGTGTCGTGCGGCAGCACCCGCAGCAGCAGCTCGTGCAGCAGCCCAAACAGCCGCACCTGGCTGCAGTGGTACCGGGGGCGCCTGGGGGTGGCGCCGCGAGGGCGTCGCCGCGATGCGTGGGCGGAGACGCAAAGTGGGCGGTCGAGCCGGCCCGCGTCCGAGGCGTCGTCATCGGCACCGTCGCCGTGCGCGGTCTCCGCTTGCGGAGGAGGCGTCTCGCCGGGCGCCGTCTCCGTGCATCCGGGGTAAACGCCAGGCGCTAGCCCCGCGTCTTGCAAAGTAGACGGGGTCGCGCAATTCTCGGGCGCCGCGGTCGCGCCGTGCGAACAAATGACTTCAACCGCGAGCGTGTGTTCCATCGTCGCCGCCGCAGCGATCGGCCGCGTTAAATCACCGAGCTCGGTGGATGCCGTCCCCTGAACAATGGCAGCAGGAGGTGGAGCGGCAGTGGCCACTGCAGGAGCAGAGGTCGTCTCGGATGAGGGGACCAAATGCGTTGCGTTGTTGGGGGCGCCCCTCCGCTTCCAGGTCAAGCGACTCCTGCTGGGTAGACCCACAGGGCAGTGACGCTCCACGATGTCGAGCACTCGGCACTTCTTGTAGCGCTTGAGCAGCTCGAGGAAGAAGCCCTGCATCTGCACGAAGCGCTTGGGGAGGCGCCTGCACGCCCGCCGCCACGCCGCCTTGCTGACCGCGTCCCCTCCCTCCCCCGCGGAGCTCACGGCCGCCGGCCTGCCACCTCTCGCCACGCTTCGTCCGCGAGCTTTACCCTTGCCAGCCACCGTGCGCTTGTTGAGCTCGAAGATCTCCCTCATGAGATTCCGGGCGGCGCTGCGGCTCACCTTGAGCCGGCTCAAGATGTGGCTCCTAGGAAAACCCTCGCGGCGTCTGTGGGAGTACATCACTTTGTGCCAGTAGAACACGACCCCTGGGTTCGTGCGAGCCCGGCGGCTGCTCCCGCGTGCGTCGTCCTGCGCTGCATCCGTGCCGCCCCCTCGTCGCCTGTGTGCTCGTGGCAGGGCCGCCGGGCTCGGCTTTGCCGGGGCCATGGCCCAGGGAGATGCCAGATCTATTGCGTGTCGACCCGTTCCAGCTTCGGCGTTGGGGCCCGGCTCAGCGTTGGGAAAAACGTCACCCTCGCCATCCAATCGAGGAGTTTTTGCTTTGGGTAAAGTCTGGAAATGAGGGTACGTAAGCAAAACAAAGAACACATTTATTATTACCGTGAGGTAAAAGTGTGCTGCCACACTCAAATGAGCACTGGGCAATCCTCATCCATTTTAAGGCCTACAAACCAGTGGGTTATGAATAACAGTTGACTTGACTGCAGTGGATGTAGAGTGCATCACTGCACAGCAGTATCCCATTTTCCTTGGGATACCAGTGTTAACAAGAACTTACATTTTGAAGGCATTAAATCATGCAGGAGCGCACAATGCATAGCTAGATGGTGGTGGAGCACAACTGCAATGCAGCACCAGAGGCAGCAAGGGTTTGTGGATCACACAAATGTTGTGGTTCAGATTCACTCCTAGATAGGTCAGAGTGGGGTCATCTTGCACAGTGCTGCCACAAAAGGACACTTTCAGGGTATACTTTGCGTATGATCCAGTTTACGTAAGTTCGAATTTGTGTGCGATGGATTCAATGTAAGATTGATTTATCTACCCACGTGACTTCCTCTGTAATCTGCCATCGTCGACCCCAGCTGCACACCAGGGATAAAGCTGCACACCAGGGATAAAGCTGCACACCAGGGATAAAGCCTCACACCTGTGATAAAGGGCTCATCACGTCCTTCCACCTTCATCGGGGTCTTCCAGCGTAGATCAAATGTCTTCTACTTATTAAATGATCAGAGCTGGAATTCGGCCCAAATTAAGTGCAAGATGAAAAACAATATGATTCTTGTGCAACCATTGATGTACTTATGCAATTTGAACTTATATACTCTATATATATTTAGTGACTGTGAATATATTTAGTGACGATGAATAAACGAGGTTCTCAAGTTTTCCTATACTTTGCACCCCTATTGGTTTGTGTATTGTTTGTTATTTTACCTTTCTGACCTGCCCCTACTGGACATCTGTGAAAAAGATCTTCATAGCCCATTGGATTCTTCCAGTATAAATAAAGATTCTGATTCTGACTGATGTGAGACCATCAACTCGCAAGGCTTGAGAACCTAGTTTATTCTTAGGTGACCACCTGCAATGGGCTCCAGGATCTCTGTAGTGAAAACTAGGGCTGAACGATTAATCGATTTCAAATCGAAATCGCAATTTGATACAATGCGATGAGCAAATCGCAAAGGCTGCAATTTTAAAAGTCCTATTACTTTCGTATTGGAATTATTACATTTTTTATTATTATTATTATAACTTTACTTATTTAACTTAACAATTGTTCTGTTTCATTGTTCTATTTCAATTACATTTTTAAATAAATACATGTTGGAAGCAATTAATATATTTTAAGTTCTCATCCTTGTGTAGTGGTCCACTTCACACAGACGACTTCTCTTTCTCCCGACGCCACTTTTATGACAAACTCTCCACATTCAACACCTGTGACTTCATCGTTTCTCTGCTCGCCGCCGCCGCTCGCTCGCCACGCTCCGCTTGCTCTGCTCGCTCCGCTCCCTTCCCTGTCTCTCGCTGTCTCTCCTCGTTGTCTCTGTCCCTCCGTCGCTCGCTGTCTCTCTCTCCGTCGCTCGCTCTCTCTCACTCCGTCGCTCGCTGTCTCTCTCTCCGTCGCTGTCTCACTCTGTCTCACTCTGTCTCCGTCTCACTATGTATCTCTGTCTCACGCTGTATCTTGCTCTCACTCTGTCTCTGTCTCACTCTGTCTCTATCTTGTCTCTCTCCGTCTCTCCTTGTCTCTCCCTGTCTCTATCTCGTCTCTATCTTGTCTCTTGTTCCACTGCTAGCCTGCTCTGTCTCTTATGTCTTCCCTCCATCTCTCCTCCCGACCTGCTCCGTTCCAGTCCCAGCGACAACTCAACTCCGCTCTCTCGTCCCCCGAATATATCCCCGTTCTCATCAACTACCAATTAATTAAGCGGCGTTCTCACGACGCCTCGTGTCCCTGGCACCTGTCGTTATCACCCCCCATCTCCCGACACTCCTGCGCCACTCTGCCCCTGACAACAACACCAGGCCAATCACCGCCATGCATCGCATACCAGCTTAATTGGGCCGTCTCCCTTTTGCCGTTCCCCGTTGCCGTACCTGTCCGGCCCAACACGACCCCACTGTCCATAACTCGCGCGTCTTTACAATCCACCCTGTACACGCGTGTTAATACACTACACTTGCATTATAATAGATAGAGTAGTTCATATTTTGATGGTATCATGTGGTAATGTTCCATCACGTTTTAAATCTATTACACAGTGAATATTGAACTGAAGCTTGACTTAACAAAACTTTAATCGCAAATCAAATAGCAATCGCAATATCTGTCAGAAAAATCGCAATGAGATATTTTCCCCAAATCGTTCAGCCCTAGTGAAAACCCCCGTGCACTTGACCACCACACGCGCTAGTCAATGCAAATGTAGAGACGTAAATAGAGTCTCTATGGCGTGTACGCCATCTATGTTCACGAGCAGGTAAATGTCTATGTTACCGACACGGGGTAATGAAGGGGGCCCGAAAAGGGGGGTTTGAGGGACACGTGACGCTGGCCCCGGTTCCGTCGGGAGAGACCGAGCAGGGGGCGTGGCCGGAGGCGGAGCGAGGCCACGCCCCCTCGAGAGGAGGAGAAGGATGGGGGTGGAGCCATCGTGGTGGTCTGGGTGCGGGAACTCGCTGTGTGCCGGTGCTTTGGTCTTCGGTCTCCGGTCGTCGGTTAAGTTATACATTTAGGTTCCGTGGGTCAATGGAGTTACAGTCCTGACCCAGTTACGTAGTGACTCCGGTTGGGGGTCTAGTTAACCGATAGCGTTGATAAACAGTAGCCCTGTTGGGCTGTGTAACAAACGTGGTGTCTCCAGTTGCAGTGTGCGTCTCCGTGAACCCACCACACAAATATGAACCACATGTAAAAGGGTGCCCTCTTCATGACCACTAAAAGTGAAATGCAAACACCTCCTTGCTTCTCATCCATCACATTCAGCCGTTCACTCACCTCGTTATCCATCTGAAATTTGTGTATAATCTGGAGTTGACGTTCGCAGTTTCTTTGTGGTCGACGTTTGCGTTTTCTTCTGGCTGCTGTCCCTACGTCCGGCCGCTCTGGGTTCACTCGAGCCCCTCTCCCTCTGCCGCGACCACCATCACCACCACCACCACCACGACGACCACCACCACCACCTCGCTCGTCTGAGTGAGCCATCACCAGCCTCTGGCTGCATAGACTGGAAGAGGAAGGAGCAGCTTCATCATCAATGTGAGGATGTTTTAATATTGGTAGTTGTTTTCAGACTGTAAACTGCCCTCAAATGATACTTGCTGCATGTGTTTCCACAGTTGTGCTGTACAGCTCTCCGATATTTTTTCGGGTTGTGCCACGCGGTCTGGCATGATGCCTGACGTTTCGCTCTACGGGCTGCGAGTTTCTTCAGAAAACTATGAATTTTGAAGCACTCTAAAGGTGACGGACATGAAATCGGAATAGCACTGGCTCACCACGGGGCTTATGGCGTGCTACCTGGTTACTTTTTTCAATGGTTTTACTTAACTTGATTCCTGTGTCGTGGTCAAATCTTGTAATCAAAAGTTAGTCAACTTCCTGTTGTCCAATCAATTCAAAAATTTGCACACGTACTCAGATCCGGTGACAATGCATGCCTGTATCAAAATCGGCATCAATTAATCAATTAATTCGCTACTTTAAAGCAATTAACATTTTTGTCTGGACGCCTTATTATTTTTTTATATTTGTGTAGGTAAAAAACGCCACGGTCCCTAAACTGTGTAATCGCTCCCCCCATTGACGCAGGCGCCACGTGCCTTAGGCGCGCACGCTCCACGTGAACGAATTGCGGAAGTAATCAATTAAAGTCAGCGTTGATGTGGGAGCAGGCGCCGAATCATTGACGTACTCTCGACAGTGAGTTAAGCGAAGTTGTTAATAAAACCGTTGTTTATTTTTTTAAGGTTTATTATTAATACGTAAACCCCATGGTTCGCGAGCCAAATCCCTGGCAAGTGTCCGCCACGGACAGACAAAAAAATGCCTTTTGTAGGTAAGATTATTACTATTACTTAGCGTTGAGCCGACAGAGGCGGTAAACAATGCACACCCGCAACTCCACGCTCACCTGTTGGGTGCAGAGAAGTGGCGGCCCGACACCACCAGGTCATAGATGGGAACGCCGCAGAACTGGTAGTAGCAGGAAGGCGGCACCCACATGAAAAGGGAGCACACCTCCACCAGGTACTCGAAGACCTGGTCTCCCATGCGCTCCATCAGGGTCCCCCAGAAGCTGTCGTTCATCATGGAGGCAGCGGTGTCGTTGGTCCAGTGCGTACGCAGCTTGGGCACGGACGGCAGCGTCGGCTCGCATGGCCTCGCCAGCCCAAACGCCACGACATTGCGCTTGCCCCGGCTGCGGATTCGTTGCAGCAGGCGGCTCATGAGCTCCTTCTGGCTGGACAGCTGTGGGGGTCGAGACGATGGGGCTTGGCATGGGGCGTGCGAAGGCAGCTGTCGTGCGGATGCTTGTGGTCAGTCACAAAATAAAACTCTAAACGTGTACAAGCACGGCCCTGGTTGTCAATCCACTGCTGGGTGTAAGTTACCCCATGCCATGTGGGTCGTGGGAGTTTCACCACGCTGGTCAGTGTGGATTGGTGACGTTAAGGAGCATCGTCGGAGGGTCTAAGTAAAACACAGATAGGGGCCGTCCATAAATGACGTCACGCGCTTTTGGACGATTTTTGACCCCCCCCCCCCCCGTCACACGGCGTCACAAAAAGTCAGACCCCCCCTCAAATATGACGTCACGAAGCTCTGCCCCCCCCCCCCCAAACGATATTTCTATTTTGAAAATAAAACATGGTTGAAATCGCTTTAAACTATTGTCATTGTAGTGCGGATTTAATGTGGCGCTGCACTCTGATGTTGTAGGAGTGTTATAACAATTCGATATTTATTAAAGTTGCGCATTTTGATGTGACGTCACATTTCTCAACCCCCCCCACCTCGTCACACATCGTCACAAATGTCTGACCCCCCCCCCAGGTGCGTGACGTCATTTATGAACGACCCCATATGGATTTTCTTGTACTGCGATCTTCCGACGAGGGCTCATAGTAGCCTGTCACACCTGTTTTATGGATGCTGGTTGTCCATCCAAACACAATCCACGGTCAACCCTCCTCAGCTTCCAAGGAATCCGATGAGACTGGGCACATTACTGATCAAGTTGAAGGCTCCCTAAGCTTAAACATCCTTCGGGGTTTTTGTGCAACAAGTGATTCACTAAGTTCTCAGAAGAGATTGAGTTGCTCAGTTCATCCCCTCCACCGCAACATCTCCTTACACGGGACGCAACTATAACAGGGTAACAACCTCGCCTTGACACACAAGGGGGTGGTGGGTGGCCAGCACTCGCCCGGCCGTCTTTGTTTCCCAAGTGGCGATATTCATACCTGTCAACCCATACAGTTTACCCGTAGTCTTGTACAGGGAAATTTAGTTTTTAGGTACATACGGGATAAAGCCGCTTCAGTACGAGCAAACATTTTAAAATATATATATATTTGTGTTTCTCCTTTGTGATGGTAATTTGTAGGATGAACGTTGAGATTTATAAGTGCACGAGGTGACCACCAAGGTCCTGAATTGTTCTACAATAAGGTAGGCACTGATAAGGGGTTGATAGTTGTGGATATTTACACATCGCACCAGGTACTCGTTTGAGGCCGAGTCGACCTAGGGGAGTCCCCGGACGGGTTCAATACTCGAAGTCTGGACGCCGGTTTCGCGGCGCCTCTCGGCACAGACACAAAGACAAAGGCCCCCCGTGTAGCCTTCACGGGGGGCTGTCGTGGGACCGCCTTTGGTCTCCCCATTGTCGATGTTCGAGTCGACTCAGAGGAGGCGCAGGACAATCGTCGCTGGGTGCTTGGCGGGAATCGAACTCAGATCGCCAGGTTCGTAGCGCGGTCATCACTCTTCACTCCGACTCCCCACGCACACCTCGTCACACAGACGAGACACCACACACCTCGTCACACAGACGAGACACCACATGGACGAGACACCACACACCTCGTCACAGACGAGACACCACACACCTCGTCAAACAGACGAGACACCACACACTGACTTGTCTGAACGAGACACCACACACCTCGTCACACAGACGAGACACCACACAGACGAGACGCCACACACCTCGCCACACAGACGAGACACCACACACCTCGTCACACAGACGAGACACCACACACCTCGTCACACAGACAAGACACCACACACCTCGTCACACAGACGAGACACCACACACCTCGTCACACAGACGAGACACCACACACCTCGTCACACAGACGAGACATCACACAGACGAGACACCACACACCTCGTCACACAGACGAGACACCACACACCTCGTCACACAGACGAGACACCACACACCTCGTCACACAGACGAGACACCACACACCTCGTCACACAGACGAGACACCACACACCTCGTCACACAGACGAGACATCACACACCTCGTCACACAGACGAGACACCACACACCTCGTCACACAGACGAGACACCACACACCTCGTCACACAGACGAGACACCACACAGACGAGACACCACACACCTCGTCACACAGACGAGACACCACCCACCTCGTCACACAGACGAGTCACCACACACCTCGTCACACAGACGAGACACTATACACCTCGTCACACACCACGTCACACAGACGAGACACCACACACCGACTTGTCTGAACGAGACACCACACACCTCGCCACACAGACGAGACACCACACACCTCGTCACACACCTCGTCACACAGACGAGACACCACCCACCTCGTCACACAGACGAGACACCACACACCTCGTCACACAGACGAGACACCACACACCTCGTCATAGACGAGACACCACACACCTCGTCACACAGACGAGACACTATACACCTCGTCACACACTTCGTCACACAGACGAGACACCACACACCGACTTGTCTGAACGAGACACCACACACCTCGTCACACAGACGAGACATCACACACCTCGTCACACAGACGAGACACCACACAGACGAGACACCACACACCTCGTCACACAGACGAGACACCACACACCTCGTCACACAGACGAGACACCACACACCTCGTCACACAGACGAGACACCACACACCTCGCCCCACAGACGAGTCACCACACACCTCGTCACACAGACGAGACACCATACACCTCGTCATAGACGAGACACCACACACCTCGTCACACAGACGAGACACTATACACCTCGTCACACACTTCGTCACACAGACGAGACACCACACACCGACTTGTCTGAACGAGACACCACACACCTCGTCACACAGACGAGACATCACACCCCTCGTCACACAGACGAGACACCACACAGACGAGACACCACACACCTCGTCACACAGACGAGACACCACACACCTCGTCACACAGACGAGACACCACACACCTCGTCACACAGACGAGACACCACACACCTCGTCACACAGACGAGACACCACACACCTCGTCACACAGACGAGACATCACACACCTCGCCAAACAGACGAGACACCACACACCTCGTCACACAGACGAGACACTATACACCTCGTCACACACCACGTCACACAGACGAGACACCACACACCGACTTGTCTGAACGAGACACCACACACCTCGCCACACAGACGAGACACCACCCACCTCGTCACACAGACGAGACACCACACACCTCGTCACACAGACGAGACACCACACACCTCGTCACACAGACGAGACATCACACAGACGAGACACCACACACCTCGTCACACAGACGAGACACCACACACCTCGTCACAGAGACGAGACACCACACACCTCTTCACAGAGACGAGACACCACACACCGACCTGTCTGAACGAGACACCACACACCTCGTCACACAGACGAGACATCACAAAGACGAGACACCACACACCTCGTCACACAGACGAGACATCACACACCTCGTCACACAGACGAGACACCACACACCGACCTGTCTGAACGAGACACCACACACCTCGTCACACAGACGAGACATCACAAAGACGAGACACCACACACCTCGTCACACAGACGAGACACCACACACCTCGTCACACAGACGAGACACCACACACCTCGTCACACAGACGAGACACCACACACCTCGTCACAGACGAGACACCACACACCTTGTCAAACAGACGAGACACCACACACTGACTTGTCTGAACGAGACACCACACACCTCGTCACACAGACGAGACACCACAGACGAGACGCCACGCACCTCGCCACACAGACGAGACACCACACACCTCGTCACACAGACGAGACACCACACACCTCGTCACACAGACAAGACACCACACACCTCGTCACACAGACGAGACACCACAGACGAGACGCCACACACCTCGCCACACAGACGAGACACCACACACCTCGTCACACAGACGAGACACCACACACCTCGTCACACAGACAAGACACCACACACCTCGTCACACAGACGAGACACCACACACCTCGTCACACAGACGAGACACCACACACCTCGTCACACAGACGAGACACCACACACCTCGCCACACAGACGAGACACCACACACCTCGCCACACAGACGAGACACCACACACCTCGTCACACAGACAAGACACCACACACCTCGTCACACAGACGAGACACCACACACCTCGTCACACAGACGAGACACCACACACCTCGTCACACAGACGAGACACCACACACCTCGTCACAGACGAGACACCAGACACCTCGTCACACAGACGAGACACCACAGACGAGACGCCACACACCTCGCCACACAGACGAGACACCACACACCTCGTCACATAGACGAGACACCACACACCTCGTCACACAGACAAGACACCACAGACGAGACGCCACACACCTCGCCACACAGACGAGACGCCACACACCTCGTCACACAGACGAGACACCACACACCTCGTCACACAGACGAGACACCACACACCTCGTCACACAGACGAGACACCACACACCTCGTCACACAGACGAGACACCACACACCTCGTCACACAGACGAGACACCACACACCTCGCCACACAGACGAGACACCACACACCTCGCCACACAGACGAGACACCTCGCCACACAGACGAGACACCACACACCTCGTCACACAGACAAGACACCACACACCTCGTCACACAGACGAGACACCACACACCTCGTCACACAGATGAGACACCACACACCTCGTCACACAGACGAGACACCACACACCTCGTCACACAGACGAGACACCACACACCTCGTCACACAGACGAGACACCACACAGACGAGACACCACACACCTCGTCACACAGACGAGACACCACACACCGACTTGTCTGAACGAGACACCACACACCTCGTCACACAGACAAGACACCACACACCTCGTCACACAGACGAGACACCACACACCTCGTCACGCAGACGAGACACCACACACCTCGTCACACAGATGAGACACCACACACCTCGTCACACAGACGAGACACCACACACCTCGTCACACAGACGAGACACCACACACCTCGTCACACAGACGAGACACCACACAGACGAGACACCACACACCTCGTCACACAGACGAGACACCACACACCGACTTGTCTGAACGAGACACCACACACCTCGTCACACAGACGAGACACCACACACCTCGTCACACAGACGAGACACCACACACCTCGTCACACAGACGAGACACCACACACCTCGTCACACAGACGAGACACCACACACCTCGTCACACAGACGAGACACCACACACCTCGCCACACAGACGAGACACCACACACCTCGCCACACAGACGAGACACCACACACCTCGCCACACAGACGAGACACCACACACCTCGTCACACAGACAAGACACCACACACCTCGTCACACAGACGAGACACCACACACCTCGTCACGCAGACGAGACACCACACACCTCGTCACACAGATGAGACACCACACACCTCGTCACACAGACGAGACACCACACACCTCGTCACACAGACGAGACACCACACACCTCGTCACACAGACGAGACACCACACAGACGAGACACCACACACCTCGTCACACAGACGAGACACCACACACCGACTTGTCTGAACGAGACACCACACACCTCGTCACACAGACGAGACACCACACACCTCGTCACACAGACGAGACACCACACCTCGTCACACAGACGAGACATCACACACCTCGTTACACAGACGAGACATCACACAGACGAGACACCACACACCTCGTCACACAGACGAGACACCACACACCTCGTCACACAGACGAGACACCACACACCTCGTCACACAGACGAGACGCCACACACCTCGTCACACAGACGAGACACCACACACCTCGTCACACACACGAGACACCACACACCTCGTCACACAGACGAGACACCAACACACCTCGTCACACAGGCGAGACACCACACACCTCGTCACACAGACGAGACACCACACACCTCGTCACACAGACGAGACACCACACACCTCGTCACACAGACGAGACACCACACAGACGAGACACCACACACCTCGTCACACAGACGAAACACCACACACCTCGTCACACAGACGAGACACCACACAGACGAGACGCCACACACCTCGTCACACAGACGAGACACCACACAGACGAGACACCACACACCTCGTAACACAGACGAGACGCCACACACCTCGTCACACAGACATCACACTGACGAGACACCACACACCTCGTCACACAGACGAGACGCCACACACCGACCTGTCTGAACGAGACTGGCGGCGTGAGGTCCCTGGCCCCGCGAGGCTCGCTCACCAGCACGGAGGCCGCGAGGCTCGCCAGCCCCGCGTCGTCCCCGGCGCGCAGCAGAGGCCCCGCCGCGGGCGAGCCGGGCTCGGCGGCGGCCGCGAGCTCCGCGACGAACGCGCCGAGCGGGGCGCAGCGCGCGTACAGCCGCCTGAGCAGCTGCCTCGGGGCCTCCGTCCCCCTCGCCACCTCCTCGCCCTCCTCGTAGTGACGCGAGCGCGACGAGGTGGAGGCCATGCTTCCACCTCGTCAGGGGCGAGAGACGCCGCACAGACAAGGGTCGGATTCAGGCTATGAGGGGCCCTGAGTATAGTGCATGCAGTATTGCAATGTTTAGTAAGTAATAAAACAGCGGTTTTTTTACGGATGTAAAATGAACACATTTATTCGACTCGTGGTAAAATCATCAAACGTGAATCACTCGCTATACTCGATTCCGTAAACGCTCGTCGTCATCGCAATCGAAAGCTAAAACGTCGCCCCGCTGTGTTAATTCACGAGGGGGTCCGAGGCCCCATTGGCCTGGGGCTGTTGGCCCAGCCCTGCGCCGCTGCTGCCGGCGGGAGGCGAGGGGCCTCGTGCGAGCTGAACGCGGGGCGCCGCTAAACTATTTGTTTATTTTACCAGGCAGGGCCCACTGAGATAGTTTTCAGAAGAGACCTGTCCACACATTGTAGTCCAACGAAGCGGCTTATCATCGTGTGGAAAGGTATAGCAGCCAAATACTCTTAAACGCGTGATCTTGATTGGTACTAAATATGGAGCAACACCAGAGGACCTGGAGACAAATACACGCGACCAAGGGGAGAGACGCAAACGAATTCCAAATATTACAGCGGGCGTCGGGATCGACCCCACGACCTCCTGTGTACCAGGCGAGGTAGTTAACATCTCAGCCACCGCGGCGCCTACGCGCTGAGTCTGGGTCAACGCTATTTTTTTTTACTTTTGGTGAATTGCGTCTTCGCGCCATTCTCAGGGATATCCCAAAGCTCGCTGTGATTCGCAGACGGGTATATACTGCCAGTAGGAGGCGATATTTCATTCTTGCACACGATGCAAACAGCAATACATTCGAGAGCTAGATGCCAATGTGGAGGTCTGCTGCTCGCCACGAGAACAACGGGCTTCAGGGGACGAGAGCTCATGTAGCTTTGCTTTTCGTCCTTTGAAGGCGCGATAATTGTATCGACCCCAGATGGATGAACCGAGTCAATCCCCCCGGCCAGAATTTGAACTCGCAACCTAGCGAGCTGCTCTGATATCACATCACCAATACTCAAGAGTAGGCGCGTTTCAGGTGGGCCCATGTGTGCACGTGGTACCACTTTACATGGTCTTGGCATAAGGCATCGGGGTCACTTCGTCATTCCTGAAGAGCCATAGAAAAATTGGCTTCCGATGAGGTGGAGCAGTTGCCCTCCCGTGCCAGCAGTGGGGGTGACGCGCGTTAACCGGGTCAGAGGGCCATTCGCCAGGCGACACGGCAGGGACATCCTGGCAGGCATTTGGGGTTGAAACTCGTTGTCAGCAGTTATAACGCCGTGAATTGGGGGCTGAGTTATGCAATTAAAATGGTTATTTATACCATGTGCGATGTTGAATTCTCTTCAGCACCACGGTCTTTGCATAACACACTCTTACAAAATGGAGCTGTATACCATCCACAAAAGCACCATGCCATAACCTCACAACAGTTCCATCTCCCAGCAGCTCACTTGTATCCCCGTTTCCTCGCCAGAGGCTATGTATGGTCCTTAAATGTACACATTCGTTGGGAACTTACCCCGATTTAGTAAGTGCACATTTTAGAATTTCCCACTGCAGACCATGTCACTGATAGCTTCTGATTTGACAAGCCCATTGTTAGTCCTACACCATACCTCTTTCTCAGGAAGTCCATGTAAGTGTTCCAAACTTCGTGAGTTGGTAGCGCTTCCAATGCACGTGTAATGAGCCCGACATTTAACTGGCACTCTCCCCAAGACAGCTCTGCCATCGTCCCCTTACATGCTCGAACAGCTTCCATATTCAACTCTCAGTATGTCAACCGTGTGTGGGGGGGGGTATTTACAATATTAACGTACATGTACACGAAGCAATGTAATTCGGGTCAGCCTTTGTATAAGAATAGGTTTTACCCTTTCTGGCAATAAAACAGGTGTTAAGATGTTAAAACACTAAACAGAAAACGTTTTCAAGGAATCGTGTCTGCATTAGCCACACATACTTGTGGTGAACATGCAAACAAAAACACGCTCTAGTAATATGTGCATTGTCTCTCAAGCGGATTGGTCCACACCAGACAGCTTCCTGTATATCCGAGTCTCAAACAGTGTTAGAGTGTTAGACCAAAAAACGCCAAAAGATGGACAGCACCAAGACAGCACCATCAGGGCATTTATAGCCCTGATGGTGCTGTGAGCAGCTACATCATTGGAGCTTTCTTGCCATTATCAAACTACAGTATAAGGAATCGTATCAGGATTCATTATATCAGGATTCCTTGTAAAGGCTTTCTGTTTGGTGTTTTAACATCTTAACCTGTTTTATTGCTAGAAAGGGTAAAACCAATTCTGCTGTATACTGTCAAAAAATATCCCATTATTTTCAGCTTTTGTGATTGTTTGAGCAGACGTTCGCAAATCCCAGGCCTCTGCCGAGATTGTGAAGGTCATAGACTGCTGGCCAAGGGGCAGTGCATTCGCACGGCCTCAACCCCCCAGCACAACTAAGACGAGTCACCATTAATGAAGCAGACAAGTATCTGGGAAATTAGGCACGTGGGATGATGGAGTAATACACTTGAGGGTTTGACTTTAACGTGGTCATTTACTTCGAACCCTTTAAAAAAAATGTTTGAAACCCCCTATAAGCTGCACCCAGCATGACATGACTGATGATGCCAATGTCATCCTCCAATTGGCACCATCACACATGGGAAACGACTTTTTTACCAATTAAGTTATTGCAACGATAATTGAAGGAGTAATCAGTAGCAATGCTCCAGTCAATTTTGGCAGTTGCAAAGCGGTGACCAAAGTGGCAACTGGGACACTGTGACGGAATGCACATAAATTTGGTGTTTACACAACAATCTAAAAACCTAAGTTAATTTATATCAGAAAACAAAAGAACACAAACAAAAGTCGGCGTTTATTTTATTGCAAGGCACATACAGAAGACAAGCTCATATGGACCAGACGTGCCAAGAACATAAGACATTACATCTGCTACAGGACATCAAACTTCCCTCGGAAATTTTTGAGGGACGTTTTCACAAAGTAGCATTTCTAATATCTTAAGCAGGGCACACGCTGCCAACGGCTTGAAAAATGCCTACATCACTTGTACAAAAAAACCCTATGATGCTTGCTTCAGAAGGAGTTTGATGTCATCCTCAATGCCGATGGTATGGAACTTCCTGCTGTAGCGCTTGAAAGGCTGCCCGTCAGGCCCGATCAGGAACTTCTCAAAATTCCACGCGATGTCAGAGCGTGAAACCGGGCTCCATATGATGCTCTTAGGGTCTTGCAGGAAGGAGATGGGATCATCGGATGGCAGGGGAAGCTTCTCCTTGATGAATTCAAAGACTGGGTGCGTATCCTTGCCATTCACCTCGCACTTAGCGAACATGGTGAAGTTGGGCTCGTAGCCACTGCCTGGGCGCACATACTTCAGGATGTTCAGGATCTCCTCGTTCTGGGTGTTCTCCTATGACACACACACCAACGTGATAACGATTAAGTGACCACTTTTTTAATGTAATAGTTTTAAAATACATCTAACGGGCCTAATGCATTGTTACACCGTGTCATCTCACGAGCAATTCAAGAACGTTGCCATTCTGGTTACCAAAATAACTATTATTTCTGTATGGCACCTCTCCAATCAGTTGTACTGAAAACTGTACTTTAAAAATAGTATTAAGTCTCCCCTGAGTGACTTATATGCTCAATGGGCTTTCACAAAGGCCTTTAAAACTATTTCATTAAAAGACGTTTTACCAACGAATTATCAAAAGCTCTTGGTTTAAGCCCAAAGACATGGCTTGACACAAAGCAACATTCCCAGGATCATGAGTAATGCCTGTTATTACGAGTACAGTATCTGTTAAGACAGGACCACAATGGTCTAAACATTCCAAGTGAACCTGTTGGCCACTCTAGTTAATGAATCACAGCCGTGTTCAGACTCAGTAGAACATAATGAAAGGATGACAACGCATAAAATATAAAGTACATCAACTCCCCCATACTTTTCATTGAGCATGTTCTACATTTCCTAATTCAAAGTCACTTCATGTACACATACCAGGTACTGTAGTCTGTCCGTAAAACTGGTTCCTAGCCAGGCGGATTGGAAAGAGTCCAGCGGGGAGGTCAACGGGCAACCTGAGGCGGTAATTTAAGCCGCAAGTTTGGGTGTGATGCATGGCGAGTCGTGTGAGGCGAGGGGCGAATAGTGAGTGTCTTGTGGCTGTGGTGTTACTTCGCTATGTGCCGGCTAATATCAGTGGCGAGTGTTCATTGAAACGGCCCAGGGCCACCGCTTCACCAATCCGCCAAACCCACGTAAAGTTTCGTCAAACATCTCCCTACAAAGCCCCGGACGGAGCGGGGAAGCCGTCATCCAGCAGTGGACAGAGCAAGCGCCGCCGCTGTGGAGCCAACGCATACCTGGTGGCCGAACTGGTTGCAGGGGAAGCCGAGCACCGCGAGCCCCTGGGCGCCGTAGCGACCCTGCAGCTCGTTTAGCTGGGTGAAGTCCCTGGTGGTCGTGCCTCAGAGGGACGCCACGTTCTCGATGAGCACCACCTTGCCGCGGTAGCGCGAGAAGTTGACCAGCTCGCCGCCCAGCGTCTTGGCCGACAGCTCGTAGAACGACCTCAAGGCACCTGCTGCTGCTGCCGCCATCATCTCCGTGTGAAGTGAGGGCGGTGTCGCATCGAGCGCTTATATAGGCGGGCACAGAGCCACGTGACCCGGGGGGGGGGGGGCTGGGGATGGACTGGGGGTGGAAGGGATGGGCCATTTCCGGTTGGAAAGGGACAATTCCTATGGAATTCACCAGAGCAAAATTTTGAACTAAAACTTTTTATTTTACCAGGTAAGTTACATGTAGATCAAATAAAGCCAAAGTGATTTCCTTCTGCTCAAATGTTGTTTATGTCGTTTATTGTGAAAATTCGGTCACAGTTCCTATGATCACTGTCACCAAAATAAAGCTTTTATGGC